CTGGCACCTTTGGTAGGAGCAATTGAAGTTTCTTTCCTCCTATTCTGTAGGGTGCTGTGAAACCGTAGTTTTGGGTGGTTGAAGAGTTGTTCTTTGCTTGGGATAGCAAATCTAGCTTAGTAAAACCCTAATTTGATTTTTCGTTTGCATCTGTGCACTCAATGGAGCAAATTGGAGGAGAAACCAAATATCCCATAATTTCGGGTTTGGACATGGGGGGTTGGTGGAGACTCTGTTAGGGGTAGTAACAATTGTAAAGTTGGATGGAACCAACTATTTAGCTTGGTCTCAGTCAATTAAAATACATGTGTAGTAGAGGGAAATGGGGCCACATTACTGGGAGCAAAAAGAAACTGGCAGAGGATGACCCTACCTATGAAAAGTGGATACAGGAAAACTACATAGTAGTGGGTTGGTTAGTGAACTCTATGCAGCCACAAATTAGTTAGCATTACTTGTGGATGGAAACTGCAAAGGAAGTGTGGGATAGTGTCACCAGAGACCTATTCCTAAAAGCTGAATGTTTTCCAAGCCTACAAATTGATGGAGACTGTTGTTTGGGGAGAAACCCTTAACTGTCTACTTCTCCATGATGAAATCTCTTTGGCAGGAGATTGATTTGATGGAGACTGTTGTTTGGGGTTTTACAAAGGATGCAAAAACACATAGGAAGTTGGTGGAGAGAAATCGGGTGTTTGATTTCCTCATCGGACATTAGAATGCTCGAGTCAGGGGTATTTTGGTCATTCTGGTTTATCTTCTTGAAAGTGAAAGGTCTATTGTATCTGAGTTTAAGTTATGTGTCCCATCTTATATGAGGGACAAAACTGTCTTTCTTGTAACTCTAAGTTTTATGAATAAAATTCAAGTGGGTCGGCTAGGAGAGTGATTTTTCACATTCTCTCTTCTAGTCTGGCYGAATACTCTTCTTCTTCTTTCTCTTTTCTTTCTTCTTCCTTCTTCTCTACTTTGACCTAGAATCAACTAGGGTTTATTCACAAGACTCAACCTGGAGTATGATATTGTGAGGTAAAATGTTTTGACAAAGGATGAGGTGACTTTTTGATGTAGGACCAGCTTAGTTCTAGTCCTTAGAGAATGTTGAGTGGTCTTCTTGATCAGAGTTTTATGGCTGTCAATGGCTGTAATGGCTTCTTGAAGGAATAAGAGAGAAAATAGGGAGAGAAAGAAGAGAGAAAATACCTGGAATCACTCACAGGGTGCCTAGAATCACTCATGGGAATCACTCACCATAGCTTGCATAAGCTGAAGAAAACTCAATATAATTCATTGCCTTTGTCTAAAACGTCCATACATATTTATAGACTCTAAACTCATAATAATCCTAGGAGTTAAACTGTTAGACTCATAATAGTCTTAGGAGTCAAACTGTTAGGCTCAATAATCCTAGTAGGACTCAAACAAAGCTGTCATATCCTATTTCAATTTAAAGAAGACTTAATAACTCTAATCCTACTTATGCAATGACTTTGAAATTTTAAACATAAGCAAACTATAACTAGACAATTTAAACCCTATCATTGGACTCATAGAAAATTGCAAAAATGACAAAAATAGCCCTACTGTCCAAAAATGTAGAAATACATAAAATATCACAAAATTCCAATTTTGACTCTTCAGCTCTTGCATCACTTTCTCTTAGGCTTATGCTATGGTGAGTAGTGAGGAGAGTAGAAGACGGGTTCAATTTGTAGAGATGCAAGTTGATCATTATGCTAATGCTGGGATGAAGTTGAATGTCAACACTGGAAAGAAAGATGTTATTTGTGAGTACTATAAGAAGCCTAAACATACCAAAGATGCTTGTTGGAAGCTGCATTCAAAGCTTATTCCTACTAGACTCAAGAATGGAAACCGTGGAAAAAGGATTGAGAATGGAAAAGGTGGAAATGAAAATGTAGCCACCTCCTCAGGAGAGCAACTCAGCTGCCAGGGCTGAGTATGAGAAGTATGGCCGAATAAGCAGTCATCTGGAGTTTTGTCAAGACTGTTGGAACAGACCAACAGAAGGCAGTTAGTCAGTTTTACAAGAGGAGGCCACATCAGCTCAACTA